CACAATAGGCGCCAAAACGCTCCCGGGTTATCCGAAACCCGAACCGGGCATACGCCCAAGTCCGAAATCATCATACGAACCTGCTGGAACCTTCAGATCCCGATTCCGAGGTCGTTTACTCAAAAATCCAATCCTAGTTCATATTTTCAACTTTAAGCTTCCGAAATAAGAATTATCCTGCCAATTCAACTCTGAACTTCCCAAAATTCAATTCCGACCATGCGCACAAGTCATAATACCTGAAATGAAGCTGCTCACGGCCTCAGGCTGCTCAACGGAGTGCTAGAGCTCAAAACGACCGGTCGGGTCGTTACATGACGAGGCTAGGACTAGACTACCAAATAAACCTGTGCAGTTAAATCATCTATAGCGGAAAATAAAAGCAGATATTCACAGTTAAAGATGGGGAGGGGAAGACATGCTACCGGGAGTATCGGATAACAACAAAATACCAAAGAGGAATGTAAAGAACCCACAATTTAGTTGCCAACAATAATGAGGAAAACAAACACAATATTTACTTTCATTTCTTTCTTGTTGCAGGCGTGCAACCCGCTCCCATTTCATATATCTCGTTGCAGGCGTGCAACACGCTCCCATTTCATATATCTCGTTGCAGGCGTGCAACCCACTCCCATTTCATATACCTCGTTGCAGGCGTGCAACCCGCTCCCATTTCATATATTACTGTTGCAGGCGTGCAACCTGCTCCCATTTCATATACCTCGTTGCAGGCGTGCAACCCGCTCCCATTTCATATATTACCGTTGCAGGCGTGCAACCCGCTCCCATTTCATATATCCACACCAATTATAAAAGAATCCCGGCGAGGGAACAGTAAAATAACAACGATATCCCGGCAAGGAAACAATAGTACAACAACAGCATCCCGGCAATGGAACAATAATATAACAACAACATCCCGGTAAGGGAACAATAATATAAAAACAACATCCCATCAAAGGAACAATAATGATAATCATCATATTAAGCATGAATAAACCACGACAGAGTCACAATTTACAATATAAGACTCACGGGCATGCTTGACACCGACGTATAGATACTCGTCACCATGCCTATACGTCGTACTTCACAATTAACACATAGAAAATAAGACACCACTCCTAATCCCTCAAGCTAAGGTTAGACCAAACACCTACCTTGATGCCACGAACACAATTAAGCCTCAACTATCGCTTTACCTCTTGATTCCACCATCAATTCGCTTGTATCTAGCCACAAGTTACTTAACTATATCAATAAATGCTAAATGAATCAATTCTAATGGATGAAAATAGGTTTTCTAAAGTTTTTCCCAAAAAGTCAAAAATTGACCCCGGGCACGCTTGGTCCAAACCCGAAATTCGGACCAAAACCCTATTACCCATTTACCCCCTATCCCGGATATATAATTGGTTTTGGAATCCGACCTCAATTTGAGGTCTAAATCCCCAAATTTTAATATTATTATGTTTTACCCAAAATTCCCAATTCCACCATGAAAACCCTAGATTCTAGGATGAAATCTTGTAAAAAGAAGATAAGAAGTGAAAGAAATGAGTTTAAAATCACTTACTTGTGTTTTGGGGAAAGAAAGAGTGCTTGAAAAATCGCCCTTTATGCTTTAGGTTTCTGAAAATGGTAAAATAACTGAAAAGTCCCGTTTATATACTCCTCTCAGACCCTGACCGCGGACCGCATAAAATATATTGCGGCCGCGGAGCTCCACCGCGGACCGCGAAATATCGAGCGCGGCCGCGAGAGGCTTGGCCTTGCTCACCGCGGACCGCATAAATCCCACCGCGGTCGCGAGAAACCATTGCGGACCGCGGAGCCTGGTTCAGAGATCTGCAACTTCTCTGAACCTGCAACAGCTATGTTCAAGTCTAAATTCACTCCGTGGCCTATTCAAAACTCACCCGAGCCCTCGAGGCTCCAAGCCAAGCATACACGCAAGTCCAAAAATATCATACGGACTTGCTTGTGCGATCAAATCATCAAAATAACATCAGCCACTATGAATTAAGCCTCAAATTCATGAAATCACTTAAGAACATCAAAATTTCCAATTTTTCTCAAATAAGGTCCGATTTATACCAAATGAACTCCGATTCTTACCAAACTTCATAGATTCCACTAATTTATTATTTCAAACTTGTAGAGGGCTCCGAAATCAAAATACGGGCCAGATACCATCAACTTCAAACATCTTTCATTTCCAAAAACTCGTATATATTCCAGAAAATAATTTTCTTTAAAAATTCATTTCTCGGGCTTGGGACCTTGGAATTCGATTCCGGGCATATGCCCAAGTCCCAAATGTTACTACGGACCCTACAAGACCGTCAGATCACGGGTCCGGGTCCGGGTCCGTTTACCAAGAATGTTGACCAAAGTCAACTTAAATTCATTTTAACAAGCAAAATTTATCATTTTTTTTCTCATATATTTTCACATAATGGCTTTCCGGATAGGCGCTCGGACTGCGCACGCAAATCGAGGTGAGATAAAAGGGAGGTTTTAAGGCTTCGGAACACAGAATTTATTTCTAAAACAAGTGATGACCTCTTGGGTCATCACAGGTATTTATTGACCTTGAGAAGGCATACGATAAAGTTTCGAGGGAGGTCATGTGGAGGTGTTTGGAGGTTAGCGGCGTTCCGATAGCGTACATTAGGGTGATTAGGGATATGTATGATAATGCTAAGACTCGACTGTAGACTGTGGGTGGTGACTCGGACCATTTTCCTGTGGTGATGGGGTTGCACTAGGGATCGCTCTTAGCCCATTTTTGTTTGCCTCGGCGAACTTGCCATTTGGTTTAATTGCATTGCAAAGTATCTTACACACACACACACGCGTGTGTGTGTGTGTATATATATATATATATATATATATATATATATATATATAGTTTAATTCTTTTTCTTACCTTATATATAATATTGTATTTTATTTTTTATTTTGATACTTGAAATTTTCAATTTCCAAAGTCATTCTTCAGTATCTTAAGTACATTTATTTACTTTATTTTATATTTAACTTACCCCATAGTATAAATAGTCATAGGCTATCTCAATCTGCATCTTTCTGTATTTTTTATCTTTCTTTCTGTATGACTTTTTACCAAATTTTTACCTCTATATTTCCAGTAAATATAGAAGAAAAATTGATTGGATATATATATATATATATATATATATATATATATAGAGAGAGAGAGAGAGAGAGAGATGATCAAGACTTTGTTAATGATCAGCAAAAATTGGTAGTGCCTCTAGTGCACGAGACCAAAGAAATTCATGATGTTGGCTATAAGATCAAGAATAAATCAATCATTTTAAAAATTAGTCTCAGTACTTGATGACTATCGACTGGAAATAATCTACCCTTCTATGCTTTTCAACTTTTGAATTGGAACGTAATGCTTAGAACTCGATTACTGTTGAACTTCTCCAAGCAACTTCATTTGATCAAGTCCTTTTAGAAGCTAAATTCATACGATACTTTTTTTATTCTTTTACAGTAGATTGTTTCACTATAAAGACTTCATAACTTATACCTGAATTTTATATACCATCATCATCGCCAAAGTTATCTTTCTACCCATTTATATACAAAGTAAATTAACGGTTATTAGAATTTTACTCTAATGGTCTTATTACTTATAGCTTGCAACTAAAAAAAATACATAAAAGGTATTTCAGAGATGCTAGTGTAATCAAAGAACATACCTTTGGTAACAAAAATTTTTTGCATTGTTTCTGATTCTGTTTGTGATATCCGCTTGATGTGAAAAGTGATTTTTTTATTTATTTTCCATGGAAAAGGATCCGAAAAGCTGGATTTAATATGGCCTTTGAGAGACTTTGGAAGAAAGATGAAGTGTGTTGATGGTGGTTATTGTCAGATGAGAAGTGGGTTTGTGGGAGTTCCAAAAAAGATGACTTATGTTGAGAAATGAAAACTGTTTCCGAAGTAGCCTCTATCGAGTTATGAATAAAGCAGTTTTAGTTTGCACAGTTTGTATATATATATATTTTTTTTTTAAATTCAAATTCAAATACTATATTTACCTAACTTAACTAATTTATCCTAAAATAACCACATGGCATTTTCTTAATGCAACACTTGGCAAATTCTCATGATTGACTTCTTTCTTTTTAATAATAGATAGATAGGGTAATACTTTTTAGCTACGCCCTTCAATATTGGATTGGGGATCAACTTGCTGAATTGATCTCTTTTAGTAGCTTATTTTATCTTAATACTTTGACAGCTTAAATTCGACTCAATTCATTTAATATGCTTATGTCACTCATGACTCATCCAATCCGTCACACTTAAGGTATTTGGACAGATCGTACAAATTTAGATTAACTTTGACATCTCTAGAATGAAGTTCTCTTATTAATTAGTAGAAACTTCTTTAAATCACTAACAGGGAAACACGAGGAATATACGTTAATCAAACCTCAACTTTCATCTATTGAAAAGATGTATTTTAGTCAAGTCAATGTTAATTAGACATAAAATCATGTAGAAAAGAATGATGGTGAAATTGTTCCATCAACTAGTGCGCAGCAAAGACGAATTCAAAATTTAAATTTATGAGTTACTATCGTAATCTCAAACTAATATGTAATAATAATTGTGTTTGCAGTTAGATATTGATAAATATTTCTTAATTTTTTAATTTAAATACAAGAGCTACACAAAAGTTACTATGTTTTCCATGTATAATGCTCTAGATCAGTCATTGCCGCGCAGCCACGCTTAAGATTTAAGGCTTTATTACCACGAAGCCTACCACGGAACTTCTAATATGTATTGACTTTAAGTTAAAAAAGAAATACTTATTTGCATTTCTTGCATTTAAATTTTTATTATTTAATTATTAATTTATGACTTATATTAAATTACTTAATTTGGTGTAAACATATTATGAATCACTAGTATTTTTCTGTATTTCAAATGGAAAGAAATGTTTGTCAGCTTTTGATTCTTATCTTATCGATGATGTCGGGGTTCTTGTCCTTTCCACCCAATTGGGACTAAAAGTTAGTACTCTTTTAATCAAAGAGTCGACCCGCCAGATTTTGATTTTTCAACTAAAATTCCTCAGCGAAACTTCCAGAACATATCACAATGATAATATGACTTTGCTACTACTCCTAATTAACTACTCTAGCACTTTTGGTAATTCATTCTAACAAACACAAAGTTCATTACCTTTTTTGGTCAAACATGATATAATATATAAGGTAAACTAATTAGTGTCTGTTACAGTTAGTTTCCATTGATTCGAAAAGAAGCCCGAGATGAAGAATTTGTATCAAGCTGCTGCTTCAGTTGATTGGGAGAAAGAGTCTTACCCTGAGTACAAAGATTTGATTTTTCTCATCTTTTTCGCTCTATTCTTCCCCATCGTTCGATTCATACTCGACAGATTTGTTTTCGAGGTAAACAAAAATCTGCGTTTGTTTTCTCTAATGTTTTTTTCTCTCTTGAAAATCTGAGATTGATCATTTGGTCTCGGCAATATTTTTTTTTTTTTATTTATCGTGATGCTAGGCATTGGCTACGCGCATGATTTTTGGAAATCAGCAAAAGTTGGTAAATATCAATGGCGGTAGAAGGAGGAGGAGGAGGATCAACAAATTCAAAGAGTCAGCATGGAAATTAGTATATTTTCTATCTGCTGAGATATTCGCACTTGCTGTTACTTGTAATGAGCCTTGGTTCACCAATACTCGATATTTTTGGTCAGGACCTGGGGATCTGGTTTGGCCTGATCTAAAAATTAAGTGAGATTCTCAACATCTTCTGAAATTTTATAATCATATCTGAATCAGGAACAGAGTGTTTATTTTATAACCTGGTTAATTTAATTATGGCAGATTAAAGCTGCAAGGTTTGTACATGTATGCTGGAGGATTCTACTTATACTCCATATTTGCATTGCTCTACTGGGAAACAAGACGCAAAGATTTTGCTGCCCAAATGGTTCATCACATAACAACAGTATCACTCATTGTGCTGTCTTACATATTCGGGTACAAATATGGCTAACCTTGATCCAAAAATTCACATTTTTTCGAGTATTACTATTATTTAGCAGAAATATGTTAGTGTGANGTCTAGGTGTAAGCATTGCCCGGGGTTCTTGAGGCCCTTAGGGAACTTTGATGCACCTAGACTCTGATTTGTCTATGGAATTGAGGTTTATGAGACCATTGGAGGCTTTGGAAAACTCAGGCCTAATTGAAGGCTCCCTATAGAATAGCTTCTTGATTTTCTATTTTACTTATGAATTCATTCATTGACCTGTAATAATTTGTAAACAGATATTTGGGGCATTTAGTAAAAAGGGTGGGTAGATGTATACTTTATGGGGTAATATGGGTAGAAATCCTGCTCTTAGGATCTCACTTTTAAAATCTGCCTACTTTACTCAATAGAAAACATGCTCATAGGGATTTATGCTTTTAAATATGATTGTTTTGCCTAATAGAAATCATGTCTATAGGATCTCACTTCTAATTTCGTCTGCATCAGTAGAAATCATGTTCCTAAGGTTCTGCATTTTGTCATATTAAAAACCATGTTCATAGGCTCCAAACCATCACGTCTTAAATCAGTAGATGCCATGCTTATAGGACTCAACTCCGATTCAGTTTTAATAAGTCTTTATGTATGTTGCTGCAAATCGACTAAAATCAGTAATACGCCTAGATATCATGCCTATAGGGATCTATACTCGCAATTCTGTCTGATAATTTAATTCAGCCTAATAAATCAATGTCCTTACGCCTAGTTCATTTCTAAAGCTGGTCTTACTAAGCGTTAACATTTTCTGAAACAAGTTCTTTCAAAATTGCATCGATCCCATTAGCTACCATGCTTATAGGTATTAAAGGAGTCTATCTCGAAAACCTATTGTTTCTGCATTAATATAGACACAGTATACTGCATATAGGCAAGCCTTAGGGCATTTTCGAAACTGCATTCCCCTGAAGCTCTTTCTTCGTCGTTTAATGTTTCTGATTCTAATAACTTTTAAAAGAGTCCTTAGGCAACTTCTAGGGTATAATTTCTTGTAACGACCCGGACAGTCGTCTTAAGAACTTACGCCTCAATCCCCCATTAACTGCTTCCCCTAAGTTCATTTCTGCTATTTTGGTTGCCGGGACGTTCGGTGTTGAGTTTCGGAGAGCTTTGGGACACTTAGTCCCTAAATGAGAGCTTAAGTGTGGAAAAGTGGTTCGTAGTCGGAACAGTGTAAAGACGACCTCGGAATGGAAATCCGATGATCCCGTTAGCTCCGTTAGGTGATTTCGGGGTTGGGAGCGTGTTCCGAATGTATTTTGGAAGTCCGTAGCTCTTTTAGGCTTGAAATGCCGAAGGTTGAATTTTTGAAGTTTCTGGTCCGATAGTGAATTTTAGATCCGAGGGCCGAAATGGAATTTCGGAAGTTGCAGTAGCTCCATCGTGTCATTTGGGATGTGTGCGCAAAATTTCAGGTCATTCGGACGTGTTTTGGTTGGGTTTTTGATCGAAAATGTATTTTGATGGAATTTGAAGTTCTTAGGCTCAAATCCTTGAAGTAATCGAGTTTCCGACGTTGTTTTAGGTGGTTTAAGGATTGGTACAAGTTTGAATGAGGTATTAGGTATTATTGGTGCTTTTGGTTGAGGTCCGGGGGGGCCTCGGGATGATTTCGGGTGGTTAACGGAAGAATTTTTGAAGTGTTGCAGCAGCTGAACCATTGTTGCTTCTGGTATTTTTGCATCTGCGGCTTGGGAACCGCAGATGCGGCGCCGCAGAGGCGGCTAAATGGCCGCAGAAGCGACTTTGCTCCTTTCCCTCAGAAACCACAGAAGCGGTGCTATTCCCGCATAAGCGGAGCCGCAGAAGTGGCTCAGGCATCACAGATGCGGCTCCAGCGTTTTGTTAGTTTCCGCAGAAGCGGATTGTCCCTCGCAGATGCGCTTCCGCACCTACGGCTCATTTCTCGCAGATGCGGTCTTGGCCATTTAATTTTAGACCGCAGAAGCGGCTTGTTTCCGCATAAGCGGGACCGCAGATGCGGCCCTTGTCCGCAGAAGCGGAAATACCTGTGCAGATATAGAAATTTCGAGGGTTTGATTTCATAAGTTAGGAAAACTAATTTGAGCTCGGGTAAGGGCGATTTTCAGAGGGTTTTGAAGAGGAGATTATTGGGTAACGTTTCTTTAATCCCTCCTAGTTATATTTCATCATTTTGTAGTTAAATCCATCATTAAAATTCGAATTTGGGTTCAAAATTGGAAGAATTTGGGGTAAAACTTCATAGGCTAAACTATTGAGTTTTGAGTGGGCATTTGACCTCCAATTTGGGAGATTTTTATATGGTTAGACTCGTGAGAGTACGAGGGTTCTGAAAATGTGAAAATTGTTCGATTCCGAGGCGTAGGCCTGAAGGGCATTTTGGTCATTTTACCTAATTTCACGTTGTAGCTTTGAATTAAATAGCAAAACCAGTTGTCTGCGATGTCATTTACAATGTGTAATTGAATTGAATAGATTTGGGCCATTTGGAGTCGGATACTCGTGGCAATGGCGTGGTTTCTAGTGGATATTGAGCCGGTTCGAGGTAAGTGGCTTGTCTAACCTTGTGTGGGGGACCTTTCCCCTTAGGATTTGTTATTTGTTATTTTGAGTGCCTTGTACGTGAGGTGACGAGCGTGTACTTGAGCCAATTGTTGAAAATCCTGATTTTACTTAAGATAGTGAGATTGAGTTCCTTTCATATTTTACTTTATTCTACTTGCAATTATAACTTGTGCTAGATTAGGGAAGCATGTCTAGTTGATTTAACTTACCTAATTGCTTAAGTTGCCTTGACTGTACTACGTGAAGCATGCTAGGCCAGTACTACGTATTTGCTTGCCTTTTGTACTTCATTTCCGTGTACCTTCTGGTTGTGATTGTGCATTTATATTGGGACTACGGATGTGGGATTCCGGTAGCTCCCTCCCCCCCCCCCCCTTGTTTGTTTACTTTGGGACTACGGGTTCGATTTCCGGTAGATCCCCCTGCACTTTTACTTTGGGACTGCGGGTTAGATTCCCGATAGATCCCCCTGCATATTGATGGTTGGACTACGGGACGGTATCCCGGGAGATCCTTTGGTTTGGCACATGAGTTGGACTACGGGACGGTATCCCAGGAGATCCTTTGGTTTGGCACATGAGTTGGACTACGGGACGGTATCCCGGGAGATCCACTGGACAGTTGAGGAAAGGGCTACAGGACGGTATCCTGGGAGACCCTCATTGTTATCCTTGGTGTTGAGCTGTAGTTATTCTTTGGTTATTTTGTTCTTTGTGTAGTTGTTATTGCCTCGTTGACCTGTCTTATCTCACTGATGTGCTCATTATTTCTGTCAGATTTTCATACTGTTGATTATTATTATATTTTACCTCAGTAGGGCCCTGACCTTCCTTGTCACTACCCAACCGAGGTTAGGCTTGGCACTTACTGAGTACCGCTGTGGTGTACTCATGCCCTTCCTGCGCATGTTTTTCATGTGCAGATCCAGGTACCTCTTTTCAGGCGCACTATCCTTGAGGCGAGGAGATACACAGAGACTTCGAGGTATATCTGCCGCGTCCGCAGACCAGGAGTCTCTATTCTGTTCCAGCTTTAGTATTTAGTTTATCCCTTTTTCTCTCAGTTGTTTAGGTATTCAGGAGTTAGAGCAGCGTACTATGTTTCTGTTAGCCTGTGTTTCCCGTGAGTTTCCGGGTTTTGGGATTGAGTTGTAGACTTCCGCATTTCTTTTGAGTTGTATAGGCCGAGCGGCCTTATATGCAGTTATTATTTTAATATGTTTAGCTTTATTTACCCATTTCGCTAGTTAAGTTGTTATTTCCGCATTGATAGGCTTACCTAGTTATAAGAACTAGGTGCCATCACGACATGTTCATGGAGGGTGAACTGGGGTCGTGACAAGTTGGTATCAGAGCATTAGGTTCATAGGAGTCACAGAACACAGGCCGGTTTATTAGAGTCTCGCTGATCGGTACGGAGACGTCTGTACTTATCTACGAGAGGCTATGTAACTGTTTAGGAAAAATCTTCGTTTCATTTGAATTCCTTGTCGTGCGATATTTTGACAT